CCTAGTCTCAGACTCTGTTCCATCTGAACATCAGTTCCTAACTCTGGAACAGAGGGATCTACATTTGGAATCACTAGAGAAGAAAGAAAAGAACAAGAACATGAACCAACACCAGGAATATTGGAGAAAATCAAGAACTGATCAATGACTGAGGACATTGATCTGGGATCAGGAGAGGATATTTGGATATTTTTTTAAACCCCTAGTGTACATTGTATGTAACTACAGCGTCTGTCATTGTTATTTCTTAAATGAAGACTCTGTGATGAGGACAAAATCTGATCTTCTGTTGAATATCCATACAATATTATTTCACTATCATGTTTTTTTTTTTTTTTTTTTTACGATATTATTTCACTATCATGTATTTTTTTTTAATTTTGATTGCTCTCACTCATTCTCCAAGTTGCCGTTGCTGTTGCCCTGCCTCTCCCATCTCTGCCTGTCGGAGCAAGGATCATTGATTGCCCCGTCGTTGCACAGCTCCTCGGTACACTCTCATTATTTCAGCTAGAGAAGACGGAGGGAGAGCGAGCAGGAGATAGACAAGCCAGCAGAGCAGAGACAGAGAGAGAGGGAGAGAGAGAGGGAGAGAGAGAGGGAGAGAAAATAACGGGGGGATAAAAGAAGGGAGAACAAAGAAGGGAGGTAAAAAGGAGGGAGTGAAAAAGAAATGAGCTGAAGAGAAGTGTGGACTGATAAAAGTCAGACTCTCTGACCGTTCACCGACTTCGTTCGAAAATATTAATTCCATAAGTGACTATTAATTAATAGTTTTCAAACATGGTGCATAATCAAAGAAGACATGTCACGTCCAGATGTCCAACAGAACATCTGGACATGACATGTGGATATATATGTATATATGTGGATATATCCACATATATGTATATATGTGTATATATGTACATGTATGTATATATGTGGATATATCCACATATATGTATATCATGTACATATATATATGTGGATATATCCACATATATACATACATGTACATATATACACATATATACATACATGTGGATATATCCACATATGTATACATATATACATGTATGTACATATATGTACATATATGTACATATATGTATATGCATGTATACATACACATTTACATTCATATATACATACATGTATGTATGTATATATATGTGCATATATATATATACACATATATACATATATGTATTTTTTTTTTAGACCTTCAGTTTGTTCCAGGTGGGGGCGGAGGACACAAGGTAAAGCCGAGCCCCTGCTGGCAGTGATTTGAAATGACCCTGAATTCACATTCAATCAAGCGTCCTCACTAATGCAGTTCTTCCTTGGCGGTAATTGTGTTTGTGTCTCAGCAGTGAGGACAGTCACCCAAACAGTTTACACTTTTACAGGATTTTTTTAACATTGACTTACATGAACGTCAGTGTGTGTCATGTCACACACTGACTGTATTATTGTGATTTTTTTTTTTTTACTGAACCACGAACGCGTGTGTTTTTTTTTTCCCCACTATGGAAATCATCGTGTTTCCAATTTGACGACGGCTCAGTCAGAGAGAGGGAATCAAGGACACGCTCTCTTTCACTGAATTTTCAAACACGAGTCTGACAAAGCTTTCCAACACGGTCCGGCATTTTCCACAATGTGACACATTTTTAGCTTTCAGTGAAAATCCCGGTATTCTTCAGAGAATTGATTGAGTTCCCTCACTCCCTGAAGACAGAACAGAAGCTCAGCAGCCAGGATCGGCGGGAGGTCTTCAGCCACACACTGCTGTGGCAGCAGAGGCAGCCTGGGCTCCGTGCATCTCTGCTCCCTAACTTTATTAACGGACTAATCTAATTAGGAGCCCTGACGACGAGGCAGCGCAGACGCCACTGGGGGAAGGGTTGGTTTAAGTTGTGCAACTGCAAAGTTCTCTGTCAAATTGGCATGGATTTATGCTCTTCACACACTCTGGCAGACTGTATGTATGTGTACGAGTGTGTATGAGTGTGTGTGTGTGTGTGTGTGTGCGCATATACCGTACGTGTCAATGCAGGTGCCGATGTGTCAGGAGAGAGGTGTGTGGGTGTGACGTGAGCCGGTGAAAACGTTTCACCAGTGATTCCAACGGATGAGCAAAACACATGAAGACCCTTCTCTACACACACACACACACACACACACACACGCACACACACACACAACCCTTCCCATCTATATCTTCAAACAATGCACAGAGCTTCGTGTATGTGAAAAAAAAAAAACCCTTCCCATCTATATGCTATGCATGCTCACGCACACACCCACACAGAACACACACAAATCTAGGACAAGCCCTTGAGAAAGAGAAAGAGGGAGAGAGAGAGAGAGAGAGAGAGAGAGATGAAGGGAGAGAGAGCTCCACACTGCAGCTGGACACGGCTTGAGATGAACACATAAACCTGACAGACAGAGAGAGAGAGAGAGAGAGAGAGAGAGAGAGGAGAGAGAGGAGAGTGGGATGGATGAAAGTAAGCAGGGAGGGAGGGAGGGAGGAGGAGATTAGCATTCTCATCAACACTGGAGGAATTTGTCTTGGCTGCCAAATTCTTCCTCCTCTCCTACGTTCCCTTTCTCCTCATCAGTTCCACTCTTCCCTCCTCTCCTCTCTTCTGCCCTAATCTCCATCGCTCCAATCAATCAGCGGGAGCTCCTCGCTGCTCCCCGTGTCTCTCCTCCTCCATCTTCTCCTTCTCATTACCTCCCCTTCCTGTGGATGACTCCCCACCTCTCTCCTTCTCCCACGGTACAGGACGCATGCCTTGAGCGCCGCGTGCGTCGGAGGACGGGATCGACAACTTCCCCTGGTCTCAGTCGACCTCACGCGGGGGTCAGTGCGCAGGGCAAACACGCGTGACACGTGAACGTACACACAGGAAGCGCAGACGTAAAGGACACAGAGTGGGAGGGGACAAAGTCGAACGGACAGAAACGAGCGCCGCGTCAGCTAACGTGTTGAGCTAAGCTAGGCCACACACAGAAGCTAACGAATGAAATAAGTGTTAACAGTTTGGAAACACGAACCGCTGTTTCAGACGCTTGGAGTTGCATCACTGCCACCTACTGGCTTTAAAATGGATACTAGTCATGATTTTCATTAGAGGTTGTGGTGTTTACTTACACCCGAACAGAGGAACAAAATGAGAAAGAGAAAACACAGAGATTGTTACAGTACATGTAATACTACTGTAGTACTACTGTAGTACCACAGTACGTCTACAACCATAACACCTGCAGCAGAGAATGGAGCTGTTTATCTCTGCTAAAATCAAGTGACACGTTTTCTTTCACAATTTCAAATTAATTAATTGATTCCACAATTCATTTAGAAAATGTTTCCTCAACACCTGGTATAACAATCGTGAGATAACACAATCTTTCAATTTCCGCTGACTCCTGTGTCAACTTTTATCCTGGAAGATTCCACTGAAACACACCGCGCTGGTACTTTTTACACCAAATGTAAAAAACCCAATTGACACAACCCATTCTGGGACTTTACGACTGAGGCGTTGAACCGGGAACCTTCTGATGGAAGGCAAGAGTCCGACCACTGGACCACTAAAAAGTAAATAACGAGTTTTATTAACGCTTCAGCAAAATAAAAATCCACATTCTTTAAAACTAGACATATCTTATGAAATCAAGCTGCGACGCTGAGTCCGGTTCTGACTCAGCTCTAATTTTTAGGGATGTCTGATAATATCGGCCGACCAACATTATCGGTCAGATATTAGCATAATTATGTCATTTTCGTGAGAATCTTTATCAGTTTTTCATCCGATAATGAAAACACACAATGCCTGGCTTTCGCCAAATGATGTGAGCCAGTGAAAGCCACTAGATGGCAGCATTGCAGCTCATGCTATTAATCTATCTTAATAACCAGGCGACTGTATGCTGAATGCTGCTGCAGTGTTCAGCAGATAAATAAATATATATTACCAAGCGCCCAATACTATTTTAATTCGGGGGAATTAAATTACGTCTGTCCACTGGGGGGGGAGAGGGAGGGGGGGCAGGCCAAAAAATAATTGAGAATAACTCCTTTAACCCATCAGCTCAGTGAGCACTGCCCCGCTATATCGGTTGATATTGGAATTGGAAATTAAGTGTTTGGACAATATCAACATATCGGATCGGATATCGTCAGAAAGTTCATATCAGACAATGTTACTGATTTCCTGTAAAGAGAGGACATGGTTTCCTGATGTTGTGGACGGAGTCTGCCTCCGAGGCTAAGATGAAATTTATATATAAATAAATAAATACATATGTGTGTGTGTGTGTGTGTTTTGCCTTCTCCACAACCTTCTCTACCGTTGTAACAACCATTTTGACGACGGTTGTTACAACCATCTTCTCTCAGGTCGTACGACTGTTCCACACTAAAAACACAGACTGTGCCTCAGTCTCCTTCTTTTTCTCCCTCCTCCTCCACAGACTCAGTCTGTTTTAATTAAGAAGTAATCAATCAAAAAACAATCCATATTATAGTTTAGTCATATTATTGATTTCTCCATCTGTGAAAATAATCCATTTTGAAAATTGGAAACTTTAAAGCGACACAACCACCGATCGTTCAGAAAACGACGGCTTCCTTCAACGTTAGTTGCCTTTACGATGTTTCACTTTGAGCTGAATAGAAGTAAAAATGTCGGACGCGTGAACGCTCGTAACTCTTCTCTATGACACCTACGTACAGCCCAGCTACAACAGCCTAACCTTAGTTTGCTAACCACGCTAGAATCTGTCGACACCCATGAAACAACATTAGCTCGGAGCTAATATTCGCACACATTAGGCACGGTAGGAACCAACACGGGCAACAAGGCAATTTTCTGAAAGGAGACAAATGAACATGAACACAGGCTTCAGTCATCCTGTCACATGACAAGCCTCCGTAATTCAACATTCTATAGTCAATAAGGACACAACAGCTCCATCTAGTGAGGAATGAAACCATGTTCCAACTGGGGATGTCCGATAAGAACTTTTTGCCGATATGCCAACATCGTCCAAACGCTTTTACGATTCCGATATCAGCCGATTCCAATGTAGCGGGACAGTGGTGGTTAAGGAAGTTAAGAGTACTGCTAACTACGGTCATGGGTTAAAGCAGTGCTTGTAAATTATTTTCTGGCATTTTTTCAACCCCCCCCAAATTGAAATAGTATCGAGCGCTAAGTAATATTTATTCATTTATCTGTGAAAAAAAACACTACACAAGTTGTTGGCGTACAATCCCAATTATTAAAATAGATTAATAAAGTGAGCTGCAATGCTGCCATCTAGTGGCTTACAGCCCTTTTCCCCCAAAAAACTATTTTTACAGCACATATTATTTGGCGAAACCCAGGCATTATCTTTATTTTGTTAATTTTTTTTAAATTATTTTTATCCTTAGTTTTAAGTCAAACAGCGACAACAGTGTCAGTTTGAAGACTTTTTAACACAGACCATTTTAACAAAGACCATTTTAACACAGACCATTTTAACACAGACCACTTTAACACAGACCATTTTAACACAGACCACTTTAACACAGACCATTTTAACACAGACCACTTTAACACTTCCAACTTCACTGCATATTTATTGAATCCTAGGGAAGTTTGAGTGACACGCTCGTTGTCAACTACTTCAGAAATTTAAATAATAACACTGTTGTTAGTCGTTTGGAAAACCTTAATTAAACCTGAACCTGGTTTGACCACAAATCATCAGTCATATTAAAATACACTTCATCAAGTGCCACAGCCGAGGGACCTGACCAGACCAGACTCTGTATAGGTGTGTGTGTGTGAGTGTGTGTTAGTGCACACTCTGCTGGTGTATCAGAATAGAATGTATATGTCTGATAAGAGCAGAACGATAGGGTGGTTATCAAATAATGGGTTAGCTGCTGTATCTGCTGATGGAGTGTGTGTCTGCGTGTTTACTCTGGCCCTGTGTGTGTGAGTGTGTGTGTGTGTGTGAGTGTGTGTGAGTGTGTGTGTGTGAGTCCTACCTTGGACTGTGTAGAGCTCTCTTGCAGGTCCCACAGCAGTGCATGGTTATCAGCCAACGAAATCACACGCTTGCCGTCTCCCATGGGTTCCCACAGCACACTTAAAACACACACAGACACACACACACAGACACACACACACAGACACACACACAGACAGACTGTGTGAGAAGATGATGCGTTCTCTACTGTACACCTTTACTCTAACCCTGACCATCAACCCATGAATGACTGAACTAACGACCGGAAGAAAAACTTGGTCTAACCTTCGTGTTCAGTCAAAACCAAACTGCACCAAAACAAAAACTGTGGAACATTTTGACACCGGACCCTGAATATTTACGTTACGCTCTTATACACATGTATTCTGCCTGTACAGTACAGTACTACAAACTGTACTTGTTGTTATTAAAGGTCAGTGATTTGACAGGCTGAAGGTGAAAGTGTCGATTCAGAGAACGGTTGGAGAGACCTTCAGAACATGGTGGACCATACATATATATATACACATATATATACACACACATATATACATATACACATCCATATATACATATACAGTATATATATGTGTGTGTATATATGTACAGTATATATATACACACATATATACATACATATATACATATACACATTCATATATACATATACAGTATAGATATATATGTGTATATATGTGTATATGTACAGTAAATATATACACACATATATACATACATATATACATATATAGACATATATATATTTATATACATACATATATATATAATAATTCTCCAGTGTGTAGTAGTGACCATACACTGTAAGGAATAATTTTTAATTGATCTGTTATTTATAAAGTAAGTTTAGTTTATATAAGTTAATATGATGATATATTTCATGATATATTTATCATTTTGACCAGTAGCTCTCGAGCCAAAAAGTATGGACACCCCTGTCCTCAGTCAGTTATTGATCAGTTATTATTTCCAATATTCCTGGTGTCTGAGACTAGGATCACACTGGGGG